TCTCCTCGCTGATTTAAACACAGCTACCATCAAAGCTGTTCATATAATGGATGGTGGAACTCAGGTCAGTGGCTTGTTTTAAATAGTTGCAACGGGCCATGGAAGAAGACATTTCTGCATATCTGTACTTGCCTTTTTTAAGGCGAAGCTCGTGTTCACATTCGAAAATGACAAGCAGGCAGTATTCAAGCCAATGAGGTCCGTATTAACCCTGTTTTCATATCGGGAACGACGAATCAATCTACTAATAGGTTTACATTACACCGAAAAAGGATGTTTTTTCAGGTTTGGTCGCGATTATGAGTCGGATCCAAATCACTTCTACTTCAGCGACTTTGAGCGGCATAACGCTGAAATAGCCACTTTCCATCTGGACAGGTGCGCGATCTGGTGGTAATGAAAGAAATGCATGAAGGTTCCTAGTTTAGTTCCTTCAAGGGTTCTTGGCTTTCGACGCGCCGTGCCTACCGTGGGAAGGATTGTGAACATGACGTCTGAATTGTACGAAAAGGCAGAGAAAAAGCTAAAGAAAACGTTCTTCATTTCACCTGGTGAGTTGATAACTGAAAAGCAACTTCTGCCGTATGGTGTAATCTTATGTGATTTATTACATAATACCAGAACGTGTTGATCCAGCTGACAATTATAAGAAGTCTGTTAGTCGCACAGCTGGGCTTGGAAAACGCAGCCAGTCAAAAAAGTCATGACAAGATCATCTGTTATGAAACTAGGTCTCTGCCATCCAATATGATACATTTATTTAGCAAAAAATCATTGCTTCGTATCGCGATGCGACTACTACTGCGATACGACGCACGCTATCTGTGGGTTACCTGATCTCAAAGAGGGTTCGGTGCAGGTTTTCCTTCCCGATGAATCCGTTGTTCCAAGAAGGCATAATCGAAGTCCATATAGGAGGTATGATTTGCTAGTTTTTCGTTATGTAGTAGGATTTATGCCATTGGCTTCATTAAAATGGCTATTAAAATGATTATTGAAGGGATTTAGCGCTCATCAAGCTACGACGCAGGTTTGGTGTTCAATGTTCACAGTGCGAAATAAGAGTTCGAAAACTTTTCAAAGCATTTTCAAGGAAACTAAAATGTACCAAAATTTGAGTAGGATGAAGTCATTCAACTCTACATAGCGTTTTTTTTTCAGAAACGAATCTAGAGAAATAAACAAGACCACAAAAATCCTCTTGTTGAATACACATCAACTTCTTCTCTGTCAGTCCTGCCAGTCCTACTTGTTGAACGATGAATATGTTAGCTAGAATATAAAACAAGCAGACATATGAATACTTTCAATTTATGAGAACTTTT